GGTGGGGATGGGGGTGGGGTGGGGGAACCAGGCAGAGGAGGAAAAGGCAGAGACCAGAGCTTGGGTTGGCAGAGGCTCAGAGCCTCTCCAGGAAGCTGTCAGTCTTACCACGATAATAACAACTCCCACCCTCAAGCCCTTACTCGTGCCAGGCCCAGTGCTAAATGCTTGATGTGCATTCTCATTCGATCCTTCTCGCAGCCCAGTGAGTTGGTACCGATATTCCTGTTTCCAAAGGAGGAAACTGGGGCTCTGCAATGAAGAAATTTGTTCAAGGATGCGTGATAGTAGCGGCAGAGCTGGGATGTGACTATGTCAGGCTCCAGAGCTGCGCCATAACCCCAGGTTGTTGGTCCCTCCGTCTTTCTTCCTGACTACTTGTCTTGAGGGCTGAGGAGCTATGGACCAGAGAGAAAAGGAGACTGGACCCTTGACCTCAGGAGGCTTCCATTCTGGTCAGGGGGACAGGACCCACACCCAGGACACATGAAGACAAGGCATTATTGTTGATGAAGCAACTGACTAATGACTGAAGCGAGTCCCAAAGAGAGCAGATGCTGGGCGGTTTCTCAACCAGGGCAGGAGATTCTACTGTCCCGCATGGAGCAGCATGTGCAGCAGCCCTGGCCCTGGTGCTAAGAGCCCCCAGTCACTGTGACAAGTTCCACATCATTTGAGAGCCACTGAAGAATAGGAAAGGGTGGTGATGGAGGGCTCCTGTTCACCAAACCAAATAGGCTTGTTTCAACTCTATAATCCCTGTCCTTCATTTCATCCAGAAGTATTTAAAGATCCCCTAAGCAGTACCCGGCCCTGGGTTAGAAGTTAGGAATACACAATGAGCAGGTCTGTGCGATGTGGGGGTGCAGGCTTCAGTTGAGGTATACCCATGGCACACGCACAGAGGAGGCCCCTCCAACCCAGACCTCGGGCATCCTTGCCAGTCGGTCCTTTCTGGCAGGAGCAGAGTGTGAGGTGCAGAGGGCAATGAGAGGGGAAAAGGGAGGGGTGGAGTGTGGTGAAGGATGGGCTGGGGTGGATCATGCAGGGCATCGCCAGGTCTTTGAGAATTTTAAACGGGAGTCCCATGATCAGATCTGCCAGCAGCTTGGAGGGTGGAAAGTAGGGCAGGGGGCAGGAGGACCAGAGGGAGAGAGGTGGCCCACCAAAAGGGATGGTAGTGGGAATGGAGAAGAGGGGACGGATTTGAGAGCTGCCTGGGTAGGAGGGTCGACAGGTCTAGGTGATTAGTCAGGCATGGCAGTGAGAGTCAGGGATGATGCCGAAGCCTCTGGTTGGGTAACTTGAAGGGTGCATGTCTTCTGCAATAGGGATGCAAGAGAATTGCAGAGAAGAGTACAAATTTGGGTCTAACCTGTTGAGTCTGGCACATTTCTGAGCAGCCATGTCTGCCTGGTAAGCAGTTGGATATTCAGGTCTTAGGTTGAGAGGGAAAATCTGGATCAGAAATACAGGTGTGTAAGTCATGAGCATTTGCCTAATAAAGGCAGTCCTGTGAATGAGTGAGCCCACCCAGGGAGAGCATGAAGGTAGACTTTCCCCACAGGACCCTATGCATGGAAGGAAGGAGGCATATTTAGAGATGCTCTGAAGGAGACTGAGGAGTGGTCAGGGAGGTAGGAGGGGAACAAGCATGGATCATTATGGAACCAGGGAGACGACGAAGAGAGCAGATGTTGAGGAGAAGTCAGGTAAGATGTAGACTGACAGATGTCAGTTGGACTCAACAAGGTCACACAGACACAGCAAAGCCAGCTCTCATTAAGTGAAGCTAGGGTCAGGTTGTTGGGTTGGGGAGTAGTTGGGGAGATGGAGAAGCCAGTGAGTGGAGGTAACTTTTTCAAGAAGCTTGGCTGTGAGCTGGCCAAGATGGCAGTAGCTAGAACCAGGGAAGATGTTGATTAAAGATGGAAAACAGCTAAGGAGGTTTGTGTGGGTGGAGAGGTAGCAGTTGAGGGTGTGGGGCACAGACCCCAGGCCAGGGGTATTGGCCTGGCATGGGAGGAGGGACAGGAAGAAGGACACGTAGATGCATGACATGATGGTTGCAGGTGGCAGGCAGGGAGCCAAGGGAGCCCTACCCCATCTCAGATCTTTCTGGGACACATCAGGCCAGACCATGCAGGAGAGTGAGGGAGTCTGGGAGGTTTGCGGATGGGGAGGACAGTTGGAATTGCTGCTGTGGTGTATGAGTGAGAGAACAGAGGAGGGAGATTGGGAAGGATGGCAGGTGCCATGTTGAGAGCCTTCTGGGTGCTGGAGACCATGCACCAGTGTGAGCATGCTCTACCCTTGGGTCCTCAGCCCCCTTCTTCTACCTCCTGGACTGGCCTCCACTTCCACTGCTCCAGAAAATCCTCAATCCTCAATCCNCCATGCACCAGTGTGAGCATGCTCTACCCTTGGGTCCTCAGCCCCCTTCTTCTACCTCCTGGACTGGCCTCCACTTCCACTGCTCTTCAGAAAATCCTCAATCCTCAATCTNCCCCCTTCTTCTACCTCCTGGACTGGCCTCCACTTCCACTGCTCCAGAAAATCCTCAATCCTCAATCCCTATCTCTGAGTTGCACCTGAGCTCCCCGCCAGTCTCCCACTGGACATAGCCACCTGTTCCAGAAATCCATGCCACAGGTACTTCCTGCTTGTGCCAGGCACTGGCAGGACAGACAAGAGCCCTGCCCCTGCCCCTGCCCCTGCCCCTGCCCGTAAGGTAGACCAACAATAAAGTACCTAACAAGATCGTTGTGGGGAAGTTCCAGGCTGGGAAGGGCCTGAAGGAGGCAGTGTGGGGCTGGGACTCTGGAGCTAGAGTGCCTGGGTTTTAATTCCGCCTTTGCCACGTGGTAGCTGCATGACCTTGGACAAGTCATCTGACCTCACTGTGCCTCAGCTGTTAAGTGAAAAACATGCTTCATAGAGAAGATATGAGGATTACATTAGTTAATATCCATAAAGCACTTAGCACTCTGCCTGGCACATAAAAAACAATGTATATGAGCTTTTCCTTTGAAGCAATAAGATAGTATCCAGGGAGGCCACTGTGGATTGATTAGGTGGGATGGTCAGCTGTCCTATGGCACCCAAGTATTTCTAGAAGTAGGTTCATTCTATTCCCTTTCCTCTCTTTTAGAATTGGACTACCACCCTGCCCATTGCTAAGTTCTAGAATGACTGTAGCCTTACCCCAGTCTCTGTCACTTTGTCTGGTGCCCTGTGGGGGTGGATTGTGGGGTGAGCAGGGGACTGGGTGGAGAGGCCTTGGGGGATAATAATTAACTCACTGTTCATCCGTCTTTACAGTGTTGTATTCTTTGTGACCTACCTGACCCTGGCCTGCTGTTCTGGACCTAGGTATGAGGAGCAACTTGGGGGAACATGAGCAGGATCTTGGACATCCTCACCCTGGTCCTGCCTGCCACCAGTGTGCTGTGCACCCCTAAGAGGGCCCCATCCCTCTGTGGGCTCCATCATGTAGGCCTGCCCCTCCTTCCTTTACTTAATACCTCTGAGGTAGGAGGAGGTGAACAGACAGATGGGGCACATGAAACATGACTAAAAAAAGAGCTTACAAAAAGTGGAGAAGGGGTTGGGCAGAGACCCCTTCTCCCTGCAGGGGTGACCCAGCCTGCAGCTGCTGGCACCCCCCACACTCTTCTGAACACAGTGACTTGCCTTACAGGAGACATTTCCCCTGGAACCTGATTCTCCTGACCATCTTTGTAAGTGATCTGGGAAGACTGAGGACAGATGCTGAGTGGGATGGAGGGAGGGAGGAAAGGGGGTGGACTTCAAGGGCTAGGAAGTCTAGGTTGGGATGTCTAATGTGAGGTCACTGGGGGAGAGGGGTACTTTCAGCCCACTTCTTGCACAAAGACATCCCACCCTTTTTCATTCATTCTTTCTTTCTTTTTTTAAATATATCTTTATTGATTTCAGAGAGAGGAAGGGAGAGGGAGAGAGAGAGAGAGAAACATCAATGATGAGAGAGTCATTGATCGACTGCCTCCTGCACGCCCCCCGACTAGGGGTTGAGCCTGCAACCTGGGCATGTGCCCTGACCGGGAATCAAACAGCGATCTCCTGGATCCTAGGTCCATGCTCAACAGTTGAGCCACGCCCAGCTGGGCTTTCCCACCCTCTTTCCAAATGGGCTTAGTCCCCCCCACCCCCAATCCACTGCCTTTTTTCATTGTGATTTTGTTTTTAAGAGGTTTGCATGGGGCATCCAAGAATTACAGATAATGAAGGGTGGAAGGTCTTAGAAAGGGGGCAGAGCAGGGCTGCAAATGAAAGACAGGCACAGCGGGCGTGAGGCCTGTTGGGATGCAACTTCACCAAGCCCGACTCCTAGAAATGTGTGTGAGTGAAGCCGATTGTGTGTGAGCTGGACCTGGAAGTTGTCTGGGCCCCAGAGTCTGAATCCTGGAGCATTTCTCCTTTTCCTTTCAGACCCTGTCCATGGCCTACCTCACTGGGATGTTGTCCAGGTAAAGGGGGCAGGTGGTTAGGGAGGGGTTTTAGGGGGCCATAGGCCAGGCATAGAGCCAGGGACAGCCGCACCATGGGCGGAACTTCCCCCCAAACTCCATCCTCCTGGGAGCATTTGTGGGTTTTTTGGTTTTGTTCTGTTTTGTTCTTTTAATTTTTATTTTTATTTAAAATATTACAAATGTCGCTTTATCTCCCCAATGACCCGTTCCACCCCGTCCCACCCCCCTCCCCAGTCCCTCTCCCCACCATTGTCCGTGTCCTTGGGTTGTGCATTTATGCATATAAATTCTTTGGTTACTCTCTCCTCCTCTACTCACCCACCCTCCTCCCTCCCTCTGACATTCGTCAGTCTCATCTATGCTTCCATGTCATTGAATCTGTTCCGTTCATCAGTTTATTAAGTTCTTTAGATTCCACATATAAGTGAGATCATGTGATGTTTGTCTTTCTCTGCCTGGCTTATTTCACTCAGCATAATATTCTCCAGGTCCATCCATGCTGTCCCAAAGGGTAGAAGAACTTTCTTCTTTACAGCTGTGTAGTATTCCATGGTGTAAATGTCCCACAGCTTTTTTATCCACTCATCTCCTGATGGGCACTTGGGCTGTTTCCAGATCTTGGCTATTGTAAACTGCACTGCTATGAACATAGGGCTGCATATATTCTTTCTGATTAGTGTTTCAAGATTCTTAGGATGTATTCCTAGAAGTGGGATCACTGCGTCAAAAGGCAGCTCTATTTTTAATTTTTTGAGGAACCTCCATACTGTTTTCCATAGTGGTTGCACCAGTCTGCATTCCTGGGAGCATTTGAGTAGGTGAGGGGATTCAGGCAGGCAGGAAACTTTGGCCTAGAACCCTCTCCCCACACACTCTGCTGGACAGCACCCCTAGGACCTGGCTAGGTTGATGGGGCAGGGTGGGGGAGTCCAAGGTGGCCCCTGTCAGACTGCAACTAAAAGACTTGAAATTATGGAAGTTTCCACCTCTAGGCAACAGCACAAACCCCTCCACACCCCCATTCCCACCTCTCCAAGATCCTTCTAACAGTATACCAGTCTAACATATTGGGGAGGTCAGGGCCCAGGAGAAAGGCCAGGGAAGCAGGAAGAGGGAAGACCCTGGGAAAGGGGAGAGGGTGGCAACGAGAGGTCATGAGATCTGGTCGGGGCAGAGGAGGGTGGGCCTGGGAAGAGGGCACTGGGAGACCAGAAGCCCCGCTGGCCGCTGAGCCATGGCCTGCACTCCTGCAGTTACTACAACACCACGTCGGTGCTGCTGTGCCTGAGCATCACGGCCCTCGTCTGCCTCTCCGTCACCATCTTCAGCTTCCAGACCAAGGTCAGCTCCTGGGTCTGTGGGCAGGGAAATGGGTGGGGGCCTCCAAGCTTAGATCCCCAACTGATGAGAGGTAAAGGGGGTGAGCGGGGCCTGGGGACGCCACCTGGGAGAAGTGGTGGGGAAGGAATGCTGGGTTCTGGGCGAGCACTAGGTGATGGCCTGCTGTACAGCCTCAGCCCAGCTGCTGACCCCGCCCCGTCCTTGCAGTTTGACTTCACCTCCTGCCAGGGTGTGCTCTTCGTGCTGCTCATGACTCTCTTCTTCAGTGGACTCATCCTGGCCGTCCTCCTGCCCTTTCAATATGTGAGTCTCGGGGAATCTCAGCGAGCCCCATGGGGAAGGAGGAGGGCCTGCTGGCCAGAGGGTGCTATTTCCTCCCACACCCTCCAAAGAAGGCCTAGAGCCAAAGGCTCACAGCCTGCCATCCTGTCCAGCCCCTCCTGGCACCTGCCTTGGGCTTATTGGCAGTGTAAGCAAACCAACAAGGAGGCCTTTCTCAGCAGGCCTGGACACCTGCCTGCCCCACGGGCCACATCCGGCTTCACCTTTCCCATCCTCCCATTAGTGGGGAGGGGAGTGTGCCACGGAGCATTTAAACCCTTGGCACAAGGGAGCTCTGGAGCTCCATGGGGCCACCAGGCTCAGAGAGGTCCTGAGGAAGGACCTTCTGGGGCTCTTGGGGAATCAGCCAAGTCCAGAGGGGCAGACTCTAGGCAGCCAGGCAGGTGGGGGTAGGACAGTAGGCCCTGATCTTACCCCCACCCCATTGGATCATCCATAGGACCAGCCAAGTCTCAACTCTTTCACAAGTGTCCAGCCTGCCCTGGGAAACCCAACTAGGATTTCCCAGGACTCAGTGACCCATTTTAGGTACTAAGGCCTCTGCAGACGGAAAAGTTAGCATATTGAGGGCATCACAGGTGGGTTTGAGGTTCCGATGCTGGGAACCCAAGAGATGAAGCTGAATTATTGGACCCCTGCTGGAGGCTCAGTGCTTATATCTGCCCCTGCTCCTCTTGGTACTTGGTCACCCCCCACCCCTTTTCTTCCAGGTTGGGAGCAGCATTCTTCACCCCCTTCCCATCCCACTCAGCCCCCGCCTCCAGGGCATTGCTCCCAGTCCGGGACAGCGGGATTGGTTCTGGCATTTCCTTGGCTCTTCCCAGGATCCGGTTGACGAAGGGAGGGGCCGGAGCTGGTCTGGGGCCCTCTGTGTATCTAAGATGGGGGTACAGGGAGGGGCCCCAGAGAGTCAAAGAACCCTTTATTGACTGTGGGAAGCCAGGTCAAGTTGCTGGGATGCCTTTGTTTCCAGAAATCTTCTGTGGGAAGATCCCACAGTGGGCACAGTGAGGTGGTACCTCTCATAAGGTTTCCACACACAGCTGGGTGCCCCTGCAACCTTGGGGGGCTGAGACTGAAGGAGTGCTGTTCCAGCCTCTGTAGGGAATCTCATTGTGCACAGCTGGCAGGAATTCCAGATGGACCCCACCTCATCCCTGAGTTCAAGTCTTTGTTCCCTTCCACCTGAGCCCCTTACTAGGACAGGCAGAACCTGGGAACTTACCACAGAGGGACAGACAGGACAAGGAGGAGGGAGCAGCCTCAGGCCAGCCCAGGCTGGGAAAATGACAGGAACCCGACAGGAAGAGCCACTCTGGTGCTGCCTGAGCCTGGGACTGTGTGAGGAACCTGTGCCAGTCAGGTTGGGGCTCCCTGACAAGCCCTCCATGATCACTGTTATCCTGGGGTTCCCCCACCCTGAACACACAGAGAGTCAGGGATCTGGAGTTTCTTAGGGACTTCTGGAGAGGATTGGGGGCAGTGAGGAAGGGTGCCACTGGGAAGGTTTGTCCCACATCCTCCATTCTCTGGACTGAGCCCTCCTCCCTGCCCCTCTGCCCCACCCCCATCTACTATCCCTAAGCCCATTTGCTGTCTGCCCCATAGGTGCCCTGGCTCCACACGGTGTATGCAGTGCTGGGAGCAGGCGTGTTTACATTGGTAAGTGTGGCTCCCTAGGGTTCTGCCTTCTCAGCTCTGATCATTTCCCCAGGCCCTTCACCATCTTTGCCTTCCTCATAGGCCTCCTCCCTGAACCCGTGGGAAGCATCTGGGGCAGGGCAGGGCTGGTGCTAAGGTCAAGGAATTCTCTCTGGTCTCTAAGACAGACCAGTTGATCTGCGCAAAGGGGGAAGGAAAGTTGCAACAGCAGGATTAAAGCATTAGACAGAACTGGGAGGAGGTACCCCTCACTCCTGGGAAGAGCCAGGGCTGCTTGTGTGGGTGGGAGAGTGAAGGTGTCCAAGCCACATGGACTAAGTTGGTTGTTGCTCTCCTAGGGGTAACCTGGGAAGGCTTCTTGGAGCAAAGGAGATTCTAAGCACCCTACACCNGGGGTAACCTGGGAAGGCTTCTTGGAGCAAAGGAGATTCTAAGCACCCTATGAGAGAGATGCACTTACACCGAGCTTGTTCTTGACTGTTCCAACAAACAGAGTGTTGATGACAATGATTGTTGATAACAGTAACAGCTAAAATTGATTGAGCACTTGCTCTTCTCTCCTCTGAAAGCTCTCCGTGAGCACTTTGTCCTCACCATAACTCTGTGAAATAAGTTCTATTGTTATCAAATTAAGGTGAGGAGCCTGAAGCTCAGAGATGTTAAATAACTTGTCCAAGATCTTCCAGCATTCAAGGAAGTGGTAGAGCCAGATTGGGAACTGGATGGTCTGGCTCCAGAGCCCCATCGCTAGCTGGGGAAGGGAGCAGGTGGGTGGCTGGAAGCAGATGCCCAGGGGGTAGAAAGTGACCAGGGGCAGACATCCACCTGGAGCAACCCAACACAGACCCTTTGCTCAGATGGGCTCCAAGCATGAATGTGATGGTGCTCTAGGATCTACCAGGGGGATAAACTCATTTTGGTGACAGCTCCTGGGCAGGCTGGGGCAGGGGGAGATCCAAGGTAAACACCCACTGCCAGCAGAAGCAGTCACCAGACTGTCCTCTCCCTCATTGGAGTGTTCAGTTCAACTCAATCTGGCCAGAGTTCTGGGCTTAGTCACAGGCTCCAGAGGCTTGTGGGTGATAGATTGGGGAAGCAGAAATGGGGGGAGTTAAGGGGTCGAACCTATGAGCAGAGGTTTTGAATTGGGATCAAGCCAGGAATGAGGGTGTGCTCAGTTCTTTCATTCATTCCCACAGGTCTTCATTTCATTGAGCACACTATGTGTGATGTGCTGTGCTGTGTGCCCAGGATGCCACAGGCAATGGGAAGAGCACAGTGTGTGGCACACAGCAGCACTCAGTAAATATCTGTGGAATAAGTAAATGACCTCTAGGCTCAGAACTTGAGGGTTGGAAGAGACTAAAAAGGGATCTAATGAAACTCCAAGCCCCTCTTTTTACAGATGAGAAAACTGAACCCTAAAGAAGTTAAGTGATTTGTCCCAAGTTTCCTGGCAAGATGATGGCATGTCAACTAAGTGTGGTTTTGATCAAGACTAAGGTGACCAACTTATCCCAGTTTACCAAGAACTTTCTCAGTTTTAGCACTGAAAGTCACACTTCTTGGGGGACCTCATAAATCATGGGCAAACCAGGATGGTTGGTCACCCTACGACACTAACTTCTGTTGGCTCCCAGACCAGGGCTCTCTCCTTCAGGCAGTACATTCTAAAGACAAGTTTGGACTAGGAAAATGGGGTGGGGAATCTGCAAAGAGGAGAGAAAGAGGGAGAGTCACACTGGGAGGAGTGAGCCTGCTCAGGCCTCAGCGGGTAGCCAGGGTTTGCCAGAGACAAATGGAAGAAGGGGGGGATCAGTGCAAGGCAGAGTGGGGGGAGGGCGAGAATAATGGGTAGAGGGTTGGGGAGTTCACTTGGCTTCTTGCGGATCAGGTCACAACAAGTGTGTCAGCTACGTGGGGAGGGAGGCTATACAAGTAAGGTTGGGTGAACAGTAATCTGTTAAATTTGTTTAATAATCCCTTGTGTTATTAGAATAATCAAAATAATCCCAACCATCAGTTCCGCCCTTTACCTTTTAACAAAGCACTTTCACACCTATTACCTCATTGGCTTTTCACCTCAACCCAGGGAGAGAGGCAGTGCTGATGTTATAAGACCTGATTTCCACATCTGGAGCCTGGGTGTTAAAGGGCTGGCACAGAGTCCCACTGGCAGAAATAAGCAGATTTAGGACAGGACCCAGGTGTCCTGCCTGGTGCCATTTGCAGCATTCTGTGGTCCTCCTCAAAGAGGACAACTCCTATTGTCTAGGAGTTGGGGGAGGCTGGGAGGTCTCTCTGGTAACTGCCCCCCACCTTGCCTCATCAGTGGTATTGTTCTCTTTACTGGATTATTCCCATCAGCATAGAAACAGGTTCTCTCCTCTCTCTCCTTCCCCCCCACCCCACACTGTCCCCTACTCCTCACTCTGCTTTATTTCTCTCCGTAGCACTTCTCATCCTCTGACAGAGTCAATGTTTTTATGATTTGTTTGTTTCTCATTTGTCTCCTTCCAGCAGAATGTAAATTCCTCATTGGCAGGGACTTGTGTCTGGCTTATGGCTGTATCCCGAGTGCCTAGAACAGTACCTGGCACACAGTAGGCACCCCTTGATGTTGAGGAATGAAGGGGTGCCTGAGAGGCATGGTTGAGGTGCTGTCAGTGGGGCACAGGAAGCGGCTGCACAGTTGACTTAAGTGCTGCTCAGTCTCCTGTGAGTCACAGGGGAGGAGGAACCGCAGCACCTAATTAATTAGCTGTTAATGTCTCCTTGAGAGACCAACACACCAAAAGGCCCTAATTGGGCTCATCCTTCAGGCTATGTAAACAATGGTCAGGAACAGGGTGATGTGAGTGCCCCCCCCCTTGTCCTGCCCTTAGTTCACGTGGGTCAAAGGAGGGAGGACATACAGCAGGTCCCCTGGGTTCCATGGGGTAGGGGAGAGTTGAGGGGGGGCCACTGGACTCATTCCCCTCCTTCCCCTCAGTTTCAGGTGGACAGAGGCCCTCAGAAGCCTAGCCCCACAAGAACAAAGGTCCCTGGGCCTTTCCATTAACCCCTAACTCAGAAAGTCCTTGACCTCAATCTGACCCTCTGTCCAGCTTCAGTTCTGTCCTGTGGAATCTGTGGTTGCCTAGCTCCAACCCATCCCCAGAACCAGTGCCCAGCACCCCTGCTCTCTCCAGCTGCCCATCCTGGCATCCTCTACCCTAGTGTGGGGAGTTCTCAGCACCATGAGGGACTCTCCCTGCACCGCAGCTAGAAACATTACAAAGTAGCTCTTATCATGTTCCTGCCCTGCTCACTGCCTCCAGGAGGGTGTTGAGGAAGGGGTGAAGTGTCAGAGGAGGTCCAGACCCCTGGTGAGAACCAACCCCCCCCCCACCACCACCACCACTACCACCAGCTTGAGCCTTGGAAGAGCTTTGAGAATCAAAGGATTGATTCTCTCTCCTAGAGACCGAAGCCCCTCCCCTGAAAGACACTGCTATTTCTGAGGGCAGGGCCACCAGCTGGACTAGGCTGAGACTGGGGGGTTGGGAGCCCAGGTTTTAGGGTCCTGGTCCAGCTTTGAGGAACAGGTCCTTCCAAGGCCTCACCCCATCTAGCTTTGGTGCATTCTCAAGAGGCCTTGGGTTTTCTGCCTCACCCCACCCCACACCCACTGGGCGCAGACCCAAATGCCAGTAGAAATGGGTGAGTCAGCCAAACGAACTGACCTCAGGGTGGCCCCATCCTCCTCTCCCCTTTAGTGCCCTCTCAGGTGCTTTTTCATAGAAGCTCATGGAAAATCAGGCAGGGCAGCTTGAGGGCTGGGCTGAGCTGATGGGGCAAGGTGGAGGGGCTAAGAAAGCAGAAGAGCTAGACAGGAAGAGAGACCAGGTGGGGCTGAGGGCCTGGCCAACAGGTTTCCAGCGTGGCTGAGCCTCCGTGGCCACATGACTTTGGGCAGGTTGTTCTACCTCAGAATTAGTTCTTTGGGGACTCCCAAAAGCTATTTAGGGTCTCTAACCACCTAAATTGGAAGCCAAGCCTGGAGGCCTAAGGAAGAAACTCAGCATAGGATTTTAGAAATTCAGTGATGGACCCAATGGGACTAGAACTCTGTCCAGCTGCCCAGCCTGGCCAGTTTGAGGCCCTGGGGAAACGTCCCAGCCTCCATGCTTTAAGGAAGATTAAGGGAAAGTTGCACAGATAGGCCAGAGGCTGGGAGACCGGCTAGGACACTGCAATGTCCTAAAGTCAAGGACAAGCGGCAGGGAGAAGGTGTGGTTAGCATTAGATGCCTCAGACCCCAATGGTGTTTGGATGAGTGGAGCTTAGATAGGAAGATGATTTGTTTGTAAAGGTGCTGGGCCTCCAGTGCTGGGTGTTCACCCTAACCATTGGGGACTCGCAAAGTCACCGTGGCCCTCAGTCCCTGGAAGAAAAAGAGGTTCCAAGGCTGAGCCCTCAGAGCTGGCAGAAGACTCCCTGCACTGAGGCCCAGGGAGAGCACGCCCAGACACACACACGCTACACACATGCCAGACACACACATCACACAAATACCACATACCATAAACACATACTACACCACATACCACACACACACACACACACACACACACACACACACACACACACACATATATGCAGAGTTAACTGCCAAGTGGGACGCAAGCCCCATTTTTCTGACTCTCAGCCCAGCGTTCTTTCCACAATTACCTTGCTGCTCATTTCACAGATGGGATAATAGGGCCCAGAGTCGTTATCCAGATTGACTTCCTCTACAACAGGAGGACCCAGAGAGGCCTTGTCCCGCCGAGGCTAGGCTTTTACAGTTACTTCCATCCAGGCCCACAGGGACTCTGCCCCCCAGACCTGACAGCACCTGAGGGATCAGGAAGGAGGCTTCGGTCTGCCCCACCCCACCCCCTTACCTTGCTTTTCTAGTGGGGACCGTGATATATGTCCTATCTTCAAATTAGAGAAATACTGAAAAGTAAAAATGG